TTCCTTTTTCCGTAGATCTCTAGGATCCTGTCCCAACATCAACTTTGTGCATGCGTTCCTTACTCCGTACGAATAAGGTACTTCTTTTCCTATTAGTTCACTTCACCGCCCTAGAGTATTCAACCATGACGACTCCAAGGGTACCTAGGTAGAGACTCAGGTAAACCTGCTTCAGGTATGTTCTTAGAAACCTCATGCAGAAGTGACTGAGAGGTTGAAATAAGGCAAGGAAGGAAACTTGATGGGTGTTTCCCCTAGATAGACTAGCTCAAGTCCAGAAGAATACGTGGTGGCGGCGTTGGTGTCCTTTCCAAGTCAGCGCCAATTGCTATTTTCAACGTCTTCTTTGTGGAAAATAAGGTGCCTGATGCAACGTGGAATGGACACAATGAATCAATGATTGAGGTGAGCGCATCGGAGATGTTGTGCTGGGGGGATAGTCGATGGTGGCTTGGGAAAGTGCGTGCTCTGTCCGGCGCTACCTTACTTAGACACAGTGTCAGCTCCTGCCGTTAGACAAGAAACGCCGCGAACTCCCGCCAATCGTGGCACTAAGAGCCATTGACGCGCACTGTGGGTCGCACCTGCCGCAAATACCCCTGTTCCTGGTTCTGCCTGGACCGTGTGACGCAGCCTGGAACGATGGAGGCGCAAGCTGCAGATGGACCAATCTCACCATCCTTCCCAAGGTGAAGGTGCATCAAGCCCCGTTCCTTCCCCTCCACATTGTCACGCTCCTTCCCAGTCCAACAACCGTCGTCAACGCGCCTGCAGCCTCAATCTCAATGTTTCCTGCCGGATGAAAGGTGCGCCTGTCACCTCATCGTCAACTTTTGGTCATCGGTCTCAACTCTAACCTCAACTCTGACCACGAAACTCCTCCCCTCGGCCCGTCAGGTCGCTTTCATTGTCCACTCTCCGCCGTATCCTACCCGAGACTACCATATCCTCCGTGCCCCTCATCCGTCCCGATCATCCCTTGCTCGCGCCCTCGCTTAGTACTTATTGCATTGCAGCCTTATCCGATGGTTCCCTCGATGTTTGCCAGCATCGAATAGGATTGTCACTCTTTAGTGGACTCACTCATCATTCCGTTGCATCAAACTTGAGCTGGAGTGTTTATGCTGCTCTCATCACACCGACGAACCTAGTTCCGCGCCGCGGATTTCCCTCCAAGCGTTTAGCCTGCCGGTCGCCGGCCAGGCCTCTAGCGACCAGCCTCTTCACGGCACGCGCGCGCAAAACCCAGAAGGCAGAGCGCAAAGCGCAAAGACATCTGCCTACGCGACCTTGTCTGTTTCATTGGGAGTCGCGCGGTACTCAACTCGACTCCCATCGTCTAATCCTTTCGATTCCAGCGCGTCCCGTCTCTCTGCTCCCTACCACTCCTGCCTACAGGCTTGCCGTGCCTTGATACGCAGCATATCTTCTCGTACGCTCGTCTGAAGCAATCGGCTCTATCTCGCGGTCCCCGCGTCTCTACTCCCTTCTTGCGCCACTTGTTTACGCAATTCCGTGCTTGGCGCCCACTCGGCCTCCGGACCACGCTCCGAACCCAAGAATCCCACTTCTCCTCCGAAGGAACGGACAGCTGTTGACCACGACTAGACCTGAACAAACACGCCAGTTGGAACAACTGTCTCGCAGCTCCACATCTTTGTCTCATCTGTGCTTTGAGCTTTTTGGAGCCCAGAACAAGTCCATTGGTGTCATCACCATCTCGTCGCTTGCAGGCGACCGAGTCAGCCATGGACGTAATGCACGACGAGATGGCCCCAGACCAGCTCCTCTCTTCGACCCGCCAGCTTGCTATATCACATTCGTCTCCCGCATTGTCTGTACCCGCCGTCGATCATGGCCCGGCCCATGCCTTTTCCTCCTGCCAGCTCGACTCCACGTATCCGGCGGTCACTGGTGCCCGACCATGCCCTCAATCAGCCGATGGGGCTCATGGCGATGATTACTATTACCATCATCATCAACAGTACTTTCTAGAAGCCTCATCGTCGTCATGCCTGGCGTTCTTTGGGCCTCCGTATCAGCCCACAGGCGCCATTTCGGAGCTCCCAAACGAGATCATGCTCCACATCCTCGGCTATCTTGATGTGAATGACTTATTGTCAACTTCGAGGGTAGGCGTTCCCACGCACAAGTGACTGTCCTGCTTTCTTTTGCCTTGAACCAACTCATCTCATTCCCTCGCGCGATATCCCCACCTGTGCTCGCTGTCCCCTCCGTTGACCGACTCCGTCTTTGCTGAACTCTGCTGATGACATAGGCCAATCATCACCTGCGTCACCTGTCCCTCTCGCCCATTCTCCATCACTATCGGCTCCGTCACACGCGCGCCATCCTGCCGCCGCTATTATCCTCCCCTTCTCGCCCTTCTCTAGCGGAGCTCATCGCCCGCTCCATCTTTCTGACTCACACCTCGGTCGTCTCGCGCCGCCTTGCCCGCTCTCTAGTCTCCATCAGACTGTCCCGTCGCCTGGCCTCGCGGCCCTCAGCCGAAGCCCTCGTTGAGCGGGCTGTGCTCCCGCCGGAATGCGTCCCCGGCATGAGCATGGTGCAAGTCGCGCCCGCTCTTGTTGCGAAGCGCCGCGCCATTGAAAAGGAAAAAGTCAAGGACGGCTTGAGGAAGTGGGTAGAGGGCGTGTGGAAAGGCGAGGTACGTCAGCGAGAAGAAGGCATCAAAAAGTGGGAGGAGACCAAGGGCGTGGGGAGGGTCTGGCGGCTTCGGCGATTCTGGGAACGCGTTTCGAGGGGCGACGGTGCCGGCCTCCGGTAGGCCAGCGAGAAACTGTGTACGACCTTGGAGTAAACTAAGCATCGAACTGGGCATTATTTTGCAGCATTGTTTGGCGACTTGTGCGAGCAGTCAACGGCGTAATTGGGGCAGGATTTGCAATGTATTCATGATAACGTCGGTCATAATGAGTCGAATGTGCACAAGCAAGTAACTATGAAGTTCACAAACATCAGCATGTCTTTGCGCGAGATGGTGTCACTCTGGAACACACACAGGATAGCATTCTGTCGTAGGTTGTGAAAAGCTGGAGATGTAGTCTTCGTAAGGTATTTTAATGCTATAAGTAATCATGCTCCGCCCTGCTCAACCCTCCTACAAACCAGCCTAGCCAGCAAGCAACGGCCTTGACAAACTTCCCCCTCAGAACTCTTGCGTCTCAAAGTGGCCGCGCCTTGCTTGCCCCAATGATAATGGCAATGATGGCAAGCACACCTACGAGGATAGAGGTCCAGAAAGAACAGAGAGAGATGTAGTACATTGTACGGATTCGGTTGGCGATTCTCTTTTGGAAGACAGGGCTGAAAAGGCCGTCTTCGGAGGGGGTTGTAGTCTTGGGGGGCTTCTGTAAAATTGTATCGTTAGCAAATGGCATATATATCAAGCATGCGGTGGTAGAGTTGCACTTACTTCTGAGGAGGAGGGCTTGGGAGGCACAAGCTGGCGATCGCACTCGGGGCACTTGTGGTGAGGGCCAGCGCACTGTCGATTGCGAGTGTCAGCGAGGGTATTCTGGAAGCCGTTGAAGGATCGAGGGCCCGGCCTGTATGCATACCTCATCACAGTAGACATGGCCGCAACCGAGAGGCTGGCAGAAGGAAGCACGGCATTGTCTGCATTGGTGGACGGGTGCTACGCCAGGGGACACTGGGCCTGACGCCGGAGTCGACGTCGGTGTTCTTGGCTCTGCCACAGCAGCCAGAGCGTTGGTGTCATTTGCAGCAGCCATTGTGGGTTTGGTCTCGGCTTTCGAGGTATTCGACTGTTCGTAGTGTCCAGCTAAGGCTGCAAGTTGACAAACCAGAAGACGACGATGTATGTCTTTCTTTGTTGCAAGAGAGAAATCACTCTCAAGATCGACCTGTCTCTGAGGCGGCCGGCGCGGAAAACAGAGGATTCGGAGAGCGATGTCTGGAAATGGCTGCTATGGGAAAAGAACAGGTACGAAGCTGTGTTGACGAAGTTGAAGGCATGTACTTCAGAGATTGGGGACATCATCTTGGCACCCAAATACCTCGGAGACGGAAAGATCAGAGGAAAGGATGACGGAAGGACAAGACGACATTTGGCAACTTCCAATATCGATGTACATCTAACGTTTCTGCTTCGCCGGCAATGCACACCTGCCGTGAGATTGATGTGCCGTGCTGCTAGCAGACTTATCGCGGAAAGCATCAGTTCCAGAAGGATGCCCCTGAGCCGGCATGCCTCTACCTTCTAAGCACCAAGCCGTCACGGCCACTTCTTAACGATGACACCTTCCCGAGGAAGACCTACCGTGGTCACCTATCATGGAAGGCACTCATGGTCACGATGCAGTTCCCAAAATTCTCGAGGTCCTCTCTCCTAGATACTGGGTACCTTAAATTCCCCAGATCTTGCCCGGTCGTCATGAACCGATGAGAGAAGGTAAGTGGACGTCACTTTCAATCCACTTCTAGAGAAGGGTTGGGAACGGTTCAGCATCGCAACCGAACATCCACCTCACACCCTCGTTATCAAGCGGTTGATAGCCTTAATAACAGAGTCGCAAGCATTCGCAGACCAGACTCACACAACGGGAGTCGACCTCGTCTCAACTTTTTATGGCGGTCGAGCACAGCGCGTCGGCATGCTTGTCAAGACCCTACAGGAGATCATCGCCTGCGATCCACGCCGAACTCTGCGCATCACAATACATGTTCATACTCAGGCATACTTTCGATCTTCCTGGGCAAGCCAACCCAATGCGTTATGAAGTGCTTTTCCGGTCAAAAAGCTGAATCCTCTACAGTTTGTAACTATTTTCAAAGATACTCGACTCGAACAATTGTCGCGCTACGGTACCTATCATGGAGAGTAAGATAGCCAAAGCCTAGGAAGGTATCGAGACTTCTGTGGCTACATGGAGCCACGTAATCGAAGAACTCAGGGCTACTGGTCAACTGCCTCTACTGCCTCTCCCACTGCACAACACACAATACACAAACCCACCCCTGAGTCTACGACCTCTAACCCCACGCTCAAAAGGCGCTGAGAAACTACACACCTTTCGCGGCATGAGTCTTTCAATACTAAGTAAGCAACAATAAACTCTGAGTATAGTACCTCTCCCTTCTCAAAACGATCAATGTACCATCACACTTTGTGTGGGGTATCAGAGCTTTAACAACTTAGGTGCTTGCACCAGTGGCTGAGAGCTGTTGGAGGGGTTCCGTCTGCCCAGTACAGATGTCAGCCGAAATTACGCCCGCCATTCTGCTTTCTTTTTCATGTTCTTCAACCGCTGCAGGTATGCGAGATTATCGAGAGCGACGTGCCGCAAGACGAGTCAGATGTGCAGTGTTATTACCCATTCAATCACTCCTACATACCGATAGGCATCACCTCGAACGGAGCGGCAGTGTCCTTCGTGCCTTATCTGAGTCTTCAGTATACCCACACGGGTCCCCATTTCTGGGTGCAACACGCACATCAATGCTGCAGGCAGTCAAGTCGGGGAACCGGTCAAGATGTTTCTTGATACCCAGGAACCTGAATGAATCATGCTCAACTCCAACGTGTTATCCTCTTGTCCCGCAATCGCTCTTAGCTAGGAGCTATCTCGTTGAGTCTCATTCGGCAAAAGTATGCTTTAAGGCCAAAAGCACAGGGTTTTTCTCTCAGCGGACGGAGCAGAGCTACATAACGCGACTTCCACGGCAAGATGAATTTGCGGCGAAGGGACCAATCCTTCCGACAAGCCGTTCATTCTGGAAGTCCCTTATGGCATTTTGCTCCCCATCCTCTATCCCCTACACGTATTTTTGGCCAAAGTTTCAACTCCTCGTATTGTTAAAGTTTATATACTATTGTGCTCAGCCTTGAAGTGTCCTGAGTCTGCTCGCATGGTCATGGTCGCTCTTGACTTCTCAAGCTATGGAATTCTGCGCGACGTGGCCATCAGGGTACGATCTCGTAGCGCACTTTCATCATCTCAAGGCTCTGGAATGTCTTTCACTGTCGATTTCTCAATCCATCGCGCGAATTTGAACTGTCATGGCATGAATAGGAGGGGTGCGTAACACAATCTAGACACACTCACAGCGCACTCACAATAACTATTACATTTCAGTAACTTGATACGTCCACTCCGAAAGTCCAAAAAGCAACGTAAACTCCCCTTTATGCTCGAAGGATACTGGGAACAACTTACAAGGATCCTTCATACTAAATGCGGCTCAATACTGTCACTACTAATGCATCAAGATTCAAACAAACGCAATATGTGGTCAAATTATCGTCGATCAACTAAGTTACTCTTTAATATACCCGCCATCCTCATTGTCTTTGTACGGCAGGCTCGGTGATTTGATGCGGTTCCCTCGGTAATTGGTCTCTATCGTTTGCCATCCAGGTCCGTTGTCTCGGGCAGCCGTTTGATGTCTCATTTGGCACGCCTGATTCACATGAATGTAAATGTCTCAATAATCTTTAGCAACTCTGTAGAATTTGCCAAGAGTTATCATATACATAGAGGTAATAATGATGTAGAACCTGTGGAAGGGTTTGTATAGACTCGAAGCAACCCTGTGAGGGTAAGTAGTATGTGATGCCGGGAACCCCCTCAGACTGTTATCACAATACGGCTGACCGAACTGGACTCTGTGGTCAAAATCAAGATTCGCAGCAGATTGCCTTGACGGCTGAAACCAACAAGTGCCAGCCTTAAGTTTGAAGAAAGGTTCATCGATTCCCAGTAACAGAAAACCGAAGAGGAAGCGCAGCGTTTGGTGTGATGCCCTGGGCCCCCCTATGCAACGTTATGTGAAAGATGCTAAACGCCAGAAAACCGCCATCACCAAATCCTCTTCGCGACCATTTCGTACCGTTGAACTCCGTTATAGTCGCCTTCTTGTGGCCTTTCCGGTTTCTGAACCCTTCCCTTGCCCCCCTTTAGCCCTTCCTTGTCATCAGCGTGAATCCACCTCCGCCGATCCTCCGTGACCTCGATCTGACCATAACCGCCAACTCTCTTCCCAGTAGCATCGTAGACCTCACGCTCCTCCTGACCAGTTGCCACCATGTGCTCCTTACGCTTCATTTTGGCGTACCTGTTCCGGGAGTATCGCAGCAGAACCATGCCTAGCAGCAGCTTGATGATCAAAAGGACCAAGAAAGCGATGAAGAAGACGACAATCATGGTCACTGCCGCAATCACGTCATCGCTGGTCCAGGTCCACCATGCCCTGCTCTGGACGCTTGGCTCCCCGTAAGGATAGCCATAAACGGCTCGACCTAAAGCGTCTCGAAGTAAGGTATCGAGACGGTCAAGTGCCGCCACCATGGCAGGCGACGATGGTGTTGCAGATTCGACAGAAAGTGAAGTCTGGGTGGACTCTGCGATGGGCGTGGCTATGCGCGTTGAGAGGAACATGTGGTATGTTTGGACAGAGGCCCGGATGAACAAGCATGACAATGGAATGACGGCCAGACCAAGTCGTCTCGTTAGTGAAGGCGAGACAAATGCCTACAAAGGTCGTTAGTTTTTAACAACAAGAAAGTGTGTTCCGACATTGCTCACATTAGTGTAGTAGTCCTTGCACAGGATGTCAAGGATGCGGCTGTAGAACGTCGGCTTGATGTTGTTGAATTTGTTCACGTAGGCGTGTTTGATTGTATCGACCAGCATCTCACTGCCAATGACAATGAGAAAGGGGGACAAAACCTCGCCGGACCAAACCCAGGACGGAAGAATTGTGAAGCTGAACGGTAGAATCGAAGGGCTGTGAAGAGGCATAGCACCGGATCCTCCAAGATCGCTGTTCTCAGACCCTGCTCCAGGTACAGAGAGCCCACCGACCTCGACAATGTTGCGCATGCCGATGATGAACAGCATGATCCAGAGTTGGAAACGCTCCACGATATCTGCACAAGTCAGCTGGAATAAGTTGTCCTTTTCAAATCTCTTGAAAACTGTGCTCTTGATCTCAACGAATTGGTTGGAGATCATGAGAGTCAGCAGAGCATTTGAATAAGAATTGACAGCCACGTTGAGCGTAATGACTTGATAGTATAGCGCCACAGAATGGATGACATTGTAAACCAGCGCAAGTCCAAACATGCCCAACGGCAAGAGCACCTTGGAACGACCAGAACTATTTCTCGACAATGTTTCGGAGCTGAAAAGGCACTCAAAGATGTCTTGACCAAGGGCTGAGAGAAGGCGATCCCCGACCTAGCAGGATTAGCGAAAACTGTTGAAAGAGGAGGGAGTCACTCACCTCAAGGACGTTGTAGATGACATAGAGCTTAATGCCATCCTGAGCTCGAATGAAGTGATACATTCGACTGGCGTCCAGCTTCATCAGGAAGAGCGAGCTGAAGAGTATAACAGCACCTTGCAGGAGATCGGCTTTATGAAAGGAAGACAGGTTGGAGGGGATCGATTTCGTCCTACGATGTCGATGCACTCTAGAGGCGGAAGGGTGTGGAGGGTGATGACTGGATGGCCCGTTCATCTTATGAGTGATGTGCCCATTGCCATTTAACCTGGCCTCATGTTCAACTACTCCATTGCCGTTCGCCTTGACATCCGAGTCGATGTGGACGGCTGGGATGTTGTCAGGGAATCTCATGTCCGTGGCTGGGGTAGATGATCTCCGCCCCGGCGGCCGACTCTGACTCCTGTCGCGGCTGATAAGGTGATCGTTGTCTCCCTTTTGAGCGGACAACGCACTTCTCGCCCTGGGTCTTCGCGCTCTGGCCCATACCCTACCCAATCCGTACCAAACGAAGCCAACCATAAACCGTGCCTCCTTGATGGCCATGTAACCCCACCACCTGAACAATACTCCGAGGGCGATGGTAAACCTCATGGGTAGAATCGTAAAGTTATAGAGCCAGGCATCGAGACAGGCCAGAGCTCCGAAATAGAGCGTTCTCTCCAGAAATGTTGGCAGTAGTAGAACATTTTTGAGTCTTTCCCACTTGACGACGTAGGACTCGTAGGGTATATCGTTCGTGTGCGAGTGGTGTATGTACAGAGGGCTCGGTCGTTGGGCTGCTAATTCCAACTGAAGATGGGTGGGTATAGACATAGGCGGGAGGGGTATCGAAGGAGGGAGGGGCGACGGCGGGAAAGGATCATTTCGCTGTGACTTTGTTGGCGGCGGTACTTGAATCTGCGGTGGTGGTTGCTTGTTCTGACTTGTTGGCTGAGGGTTTATTGCGTTGAAGTGGCTGGTGGCATCGAGATTGAGAGGCGGTGGCCTGGCAACAGCGTAGAAGGAATTTCGGCGGGGTGAAGTGGTTTGTGACTGTGATTGTCGTCGATTCGTCGGGGGAGTCGAGAGCGTTCTGCCCGAGACAGGTCGCCTTGGCTCGTCTTGGTATCGAGACCTGTTACCGCCGTCCGTCACAGGTCCGTTTGGTCGCAGAGAGTCGGGTTGACTGAGTATCGACTGTCGAATTGCTTCGAGTTGGTCGGCGAGAGGAGAGCGCGCGGGCAGCTCTTGTCCTTGACCGCCGGGGGCTTGGTCGGGAACGACTGCGACAGGGAGAGCTTCGGGGGCGGTGAGTTGTTGTATCCCTGCGACAGATAATCTCCTAACATTATCGTGGCTTTGATTCTTCTTCATGGATGCGGAGCTCGATCCGGCCCTGGCCCTCGACTTTGGTGCCACGTCGTCCTTCTTCTCAGCAGCGGTCGCAGGCTCGGAGGTTGACGAAGAGTTGGATGAGTCCTGCTTCTCGGGCTTGCTATGCGTGGATGAGGCATCGGAAGACTGTTCTTCGTCGGAGTGGCCACCGGGAATGGTAGGGAGAGTCGACGTAGGGGGTGCGCTTGCAGACACATTTGGCAATGGAGGGAGAGGTATGTGCGACACTTTAATATCGTTCTTGGCACTCAGATTGCCATCGTCGTGTGCCGTGTTCTCGGGAACGAATGAGGGCATAGGCGGGAATGCCTCGACGGGCTCCGCGGGTAAGAAGACGGAGCGTGCAGAAGTCTCGTCATGGTTATCATCGTCGGCCCCTCGATCATCGTGGTGTTCGCTCGCCGCCATTCCCAAGCCCTTCACTGTCTTTGATGGATGGGTAGTATCGCCGCCATTCGCACACCGAGGCTGCGATAATCGTGGAACGAAAAAGACTCTTCAGATTGGAGAATGCAACGAAATGCGCCAGGATTTGCTGGGTAAGTTTTGCGATAGGATTCGGCACAATGAGTGAGTGGTTCAAGCAATTAGGCTTGCAGTCTGCAGTTCTTCAGGTCGCGTGGGGGGGAATATTGCCGAGCGGGCGATCTCCAGGAACGGCTGGATTGGTGGCCGGACAGGGAAACCTGGCGGCACAGCAGCGGCAGAAGACAATGAGACCGCTGTGGGGACGCTAATAATTCAATTTGATCTCTGGACGCAGTGGACCACTGCCACTGGACTCGGGACGGGGGAGGCAGCGTGGCAGCGTGGCAGTGACGTACCGAGCCGGTACGTGCACTCACTGCCGATGTATGGTGAGCTGTCGAGGTGAAAGGTGTGACTAAGCCGTCAGTGGTGAGCGGGTTCACCGACGTGTCAGTAGGTATTATTCTCTTGATTCCTCAACAAAAACCCCCATGTTTACCATTTGGACTTTCTGTCAAGTTACCTGAACATAAAGTGAAACGATTCATGTCTTTTTATACGATCTTGAACAAACCTAGAATTGACCAGGACCCAATAGATCATTGGTATTATGTCCCTCCACTAGAACATGAAAACTACCTTCATCTCGGGTTATCTCTTGAATGAACTCTTCCCCAAGACATGAATGCGATTGAGTGTGGTTGCTGGTTTCTTTACCTACCTAGTTGTTAAAGAGTCAAGGCACCTGGTAAGGCAGGTAGGTTGCGATATTCGGGTTTAACCCCGGACGTTGCAAGTATCAAGTGTCGGGCCGCACACCGAGTCGGCAAATCACCTCGAGAAAGACAGGGGCGATTTCCCGATCATCGCACGCACCACCCGCACCCGTCGGGCCCAAACTACGTGCGCCGGTACCACTTACCGGGACTGTTCTGTGCTCACGGCACTGTCCTAACTTCCGTGAGGTAATTTGGGAACGAACATCTTTGGAAATGGAAAATAAGAGAAAAAGACCAAGTCTATGCAGGATGTTCCAGTTCCACCACCTTATTTCCGCTACTGCCGCTGCTCAGATTGCCGCTTCGGAACCGCACCACCTAACTCCTTAGACCTTAGACTCTTTAGACTATGAATAATACACAGAAGAAGCACGATGGAGAACACTCGGCTTATATCCAGGTAAAAACCGAGGCACCGCAGCTCGGCGAAGTGGGGGCTGGAGCACCAGCACCGGTGCCCGAAAGAGTTTGTGTGTTTTCATCAGGGTGCCATTTTGTCTCATCGAGAGGGGGGGCACAGCGTCCGAGTTACCAGTCGAATCTCCCCTTTGATGGATCGGAACGGATCTCGGCCCACCCAGAACTACGAATAGAGGTACGAATAGAGGGCCGGCCTTGGCGAGTAGTCTCCGTCAAGAGATCCAGTTGCTTGGGTTGCTTGGTAATTCCTCACGTCAACGGCCCCAACTTGTCTAAAACCCCCCGGCGCTGAACATCCGTGGGCCCCTCCAAAGGTCAATGACGCCCCTCCCACGTCCTGCTTGAGCTTCAGACTCTTTAAGGGCGCCGGGGCCCTGCTCTTCGTCCGACCCTGCTATCTTGGTTCTCCTGTTCTCTGTGATATCGTCTTCTTACAACCTTTAACTCTTTACAGTAAGATAACAACAGTCAATATGGCATCCAACCCTCCTGGACAATGCTGCACCGTCGGTGTCAAGCACGAGTAAGACATACCCAATACCTTTACGGATAGCAGCAACATGAAAGAAATGTCAAGCTACCCCGCCACACTTTCCCCTTCCCCCCACTATCCCAAAGCTTGATTGAGTGAATCCTGCACCTGTCACCGAGAATCCGTTCCAAAGTTCCAAAGTTCCTTACATCAGCCTTATGGCATGTCTGCCAGCCGATGTGATACGCCAAATCTCTCGATAACTCAACACAACATTTCTCGCTAACCACGTTCCAATCAACATAGAGGCACCCCTCAGGGCAAGAAGATCACCGTCGCCGGCAAGTATGAGGGCTACCTCGCCGAGGCTCCCGCCGATAAGGCGCACAAGAACACCGGCCTCCTCTACGTTGCCGACGTCTTTGGCATCTGGAACAACTCCCAGCTGCTCGCCGACCAGTTCGCCGCCAATGGCTACACCACCTTGATTGTCGACCTCTTCAACAAGGACCAGTTGTCTGTCCCCATGCCTGCGGGCTTTGATATCATGAAGTGGTTCAGCGAGGGCAGCGATGGCAAGAACCCCCATACCAAGGAGACCGTTGACCCCATTATTGTCGATACCCTCAAGTACATGCAGACCGATCTCGGTCTCACCAATATTGGTGGTCTCGGCTACTGCTTCGGCGCCAAGGTAAGTTCTCTCACTCACTCCAGGTTTCATAGCTCCCGCGAACGCTAACATGATCCTTCCACAGTACGTTGTCCGCCACTACAAGGACGGCATCAAGGTCGGCTTCTCCGCCCACCCCAGCTTCGTCGATGAGGAGGAGCTCGCCGCCATCACCGGCCCCTTCTCCATCGCCGCCGCCGAAACCGACAGCATCTTCCCCGCCGAGAAGCGTCACAAGTCTGAGGAGATTCTGCAAAAGACCGGCCTGGCCTACCAGATCAACCTCTACTCTGGCGTCGAGCACGGCTTCGCTGTCCGTTGCGACTTGAGCAAGAAGGTTCAAAAGTACGCTAAGGAGCAGGCCTTTTACCAAGCTGTCGCCTGGTTCGATGAACACCTTGTTTGACTAGATGATGGACGTGGGGGAGAAGCCAGGCTGTGAATGATGGGTGCCGCAGCTGATATCAGAATTGCGCGCGGATTTAGGAATACCAATTGATTATTGCGCCACACAACTCTTCCCACGGTCTACGTTCTATAGTTGAAGTGACCTAAGCGTGTCTTTCTTCTGAACGTGCTTGATAAAACGCTGCGCCAAACTCAATTGGCCCAATCACGCTTGATAAAGTCGGCACATCGCTCTGCCACCATGTAAGTCGGCGCCACGGTGTGGGCACTCGTCACCTTTGGGAAAACGCTTGCATCCGCAATCCGCAAGTTTCTGAACCCGTGGACCTTCAAATCTTGCCCGACTACACCATTGTTCTCTACGGTCCCCATGCGGCACGTTGAAGTCGCGTGGTAGATGTTAACCAAACGCTCCCTGATGTAGGCGTCAATCTGCTCGTCCGTCACGTCACGCCATCCACCTTCGACAGTACCGGCCTTGACTCCGGGGGCGAGATGCCAGGTAGCTTTGAAAGGATACTCCGTCTGGCGGAAGCGCTCTACAAAGTTCATCGAAAACCGGGCGGCCTTGCGTGCCGCGGCCCAGTCGCGGGGGTCTGTGATGTAGTGATGGAACACTTTTGGGTGCGCCAGAGGATCTGAGGAGGCGAGCTCGATTCTGCCCCTGGAAAATGGTTGTACTAGCGTTGTCTGGAATGCACAGTATCCCTTGCCCTTCTCATAGTCGTACGAAGCATTGGTGAACAGGAGCTCAATATCTGGCACGTTCTCAGGTTGCAGGGCATCCGTGTTGTCGTGCTTCTCATCGATGTCGTTGCCGTGATGTCTCACTGTCATCGTGGTCTCGTCAATGGTGCTTGTGTGTAGCCAAGCGCACAATCTGGTACCAGAAGTCGCCAACAAGCCAGTTTTGAAAAGAAGGAAGAGAATGAAATGCCAAATGCCAATGAGGGGACTGAATAGTCGGAGGTATGAATCGATGAGGCGGGTGCGGAATGCGATGCCGAAGGTTATATGATCTTGAAGATCAGCACCGACTCCTGGCATATCTCTTACAAGTGGGACGTTGTGTTTTGCAAGATGCTCCCGTGGCCCTATACCGCTGTGTCAAGTTAGCGAGAATTGAATGTTTTGGGGGATGATGTGACGAAATTGTACCTTAACATAAGAAGCTGCGGTGTGAAGTGTGTACCGCAGCATATGATGACCTCTCTTCTAGCCTTTACGAAGCATTGCCTGGCAGGACTCTTGTCAAGATGATCCAAGATGTAAACGCCCGTCGCCTCTGTCCCATCTTCATTTGTCTGAACCTTCGTGGCTACAACACCAGTACAGAGTGTGAGTCTGTCTTCACGCTCATGAACCGTTGACTTTGGGAGAAAAGCTGCCAATGAGGAATGGCGGTAGCCAAACTTGTCTATCATGATGTCGGTCGTGAAGAGGCCCATTGCCGGGGCATTTGGGTTGTTGCTGTCATCTTCTACCGGGAGGTTCATGTCGCCTGCTGCTTTTTGAATGCTATCAAGGCACAGGGTTAGCAGAGACTCGGGTAAAATGATCATCGCTACGTACTATTGGTCTATCGGGAAGTTCATGGGATTCTGTCGTAGGTAGAGAGGACCTATTCAAGTTGAGCGTCTTCGGATGGATCTGAAGGGTAGATGACTATAATTACCTTCGTGGCCGCGGTAGTGAGCGTCGGGATGGCAAGCAGCGTTCTCAATCTTCTTAAAGTATGGCTCGCACTTATCCCAGCTCCATTCATCATTACCAAGCGCAGCCCACTGGTTGTAGTTACCCGGTGCGCCGCGCGTGAGCATCAGTCCGTTGACTCTGGTGGCACCACCAAGTGCCTGAGTGTTGAAAGTTCGGGTCTTGCATCCAGTCCACTGCTCGTGAGGCTCAGACCAAAATGTGTCAATCTGAGGGCCCTTGCCGTCGCTCGCATTCCCGATGATGGGGATACGGTCAAGCCAGTTGTCCTTGACCTTGCCTTTACAAATGACTAGGACGCTGGTGCTCGGGTCTTCGCTGAGTCGGGAGGCGATGGCACATGCTGCGGTGCCACCTGCGTGATGTCAGTATTGGGGATTTCATATGTGGTCGGCGATACTTACCGCCTACAATAACATAGTCGAAAGTTCTGTCATCGACGTCGACTGCCTTCCGCTCCGGATAAGGGCGAGAAAGTGGCCAGACCATGGTTGTCGGGTAGAGTGGAGCTTGATGTGATGATTCGTAACACGATCTGGATTGCCCTCACAAGCAAGACACCTCACTTAAAATATCTCCTCACTTGTGATGCTGGATGAGGGGTTCTTATGTCGTCAAGAGTAAGCACCACGCTGGGCGGGAAGGATCATCATTCGACTTATAGCCATACACTAGTTCCTGCAAAAGATCAATTGCAATCTACAGAAACGCCAGCGAGTGCGACCCCTCCAATCGCAGGCTGACCCTTCATCGGCCAGCCTAGTCATTTGAACTTTGGCTTCAATAGCTGCGAAGCCTGAGCACCCGGAAAATGTTGTAGGATGAAAGAAAGAGAAGACATCTGGAGGACAAGGATACACTGCCTACCGTCGTCGGTATGTCTATGAAATACCGCTGGGCTTGCTGTACTTACGTTCAAAGGCAGAGAAATGGAAATCTTTATCACTCAGGCATCGCCTCTAAGCATCACCTCACCGCCAGCAAATTTTCATAAACGAACCGACTTTGCATGCTGTAGCACATCAATGCCGGTCTCTTAGTATGAGAGAAGATCAAGACCGCAGACATCGCAAAGAATACGAGCCGACTGGGTCGCGATGAACAACATTGAAACATGGCTGCTGGTCTTCTGCCATCGGAGGCACTCACTAGCACTCCATTGCCACTAATAATGGGGCACCGTACATACACCAGGATGAGTTCAGATAGCGGGGTGCGACGAGGATCAGATGGAAGCTTAACAGCGATCTGAATTGACCACTGGCACTGGCGGAGAGGAGGGAAAACAAGCACCGCAACTGGGGCATGGCTCGTCATTTTCATGCCTTCCATTTCTCGTCCTTTACTGCGTACAGGTTTGCACCGACCTGCGGTTCGAACGACGGCCCGCTCCTAGCCCCGGTGAAGGAAGGTGCAAGACGGACGGGAGCTCATGAACTTAGCCACGCTGTTCGCCTCTTTCTGAACGTCCCGTCTGCATTGGATTGCACTGCACTGCCCCTAAAATGGACGACCTTCGACCTTCATCAGTCGATGATTTCCCCCTCCCGCACCGTCAGCCATCTTCCACGTCAACATACATCGCATCGCCTTGCCTTACATCTGCATCGCCATCAACAATGGCGGAGTCGCTCGGCCACCACCACTGTCCACGGAATCCCGCTGCCTGTTGTACAGCAAAGTAGCGCAATATAAGCCACGAGCTAGCGACTGATAGGGCTATTGGGCAAGACATGGGGGCCATGCTGACACAGGGGAGGGGGGTTGGCTGGCAATGGGGCCCGTACGGAGAACGGAGTGTTAGCAGGCAGGCAAGCAACAAACGATTCCATGACTGGAAGATGGCTGGTGAGACGAGCTGAAGCTGGCAAGCTGCCACTGGAGCGAACACTCGCTTGTTGACTGGATGAGACCTAGACACTGACCTGGTCGCACATCCCATGGCATCCCACCACCTGCACTCTTCTCCTGTTTCCTGGTCGCGGCTGTGCCGCCATCGCGCGCTAGCTCAACGTGCAGCCTCGTCTGTCTCGTCAAGATTCTTTTTCGACTTCGATTCGACACACGTCACGGCTCCCTTCTGCCGCGTCTCTTCTCCTCAGCCGAACCCGCTTCTCTGCTACAAACTCAGGTTGCCTCATGCCACCCATGGCTTCTTTCATTTTGATCAAATCCGCCCCCATTACCAACACAGATCTCTCTTGAGGACGCTTCGATACCACCCATAACCGAAAGCACCAAATTCCGGCTACGCTCAGCTGTGCTACTCCGAATAGCTAACCCGCAAGGCTCGGCAAACGACGGCAAACAGAAGCCCAAAACGAACCTATTGGACCGAGACAATGGCCATGGAGGGCATGAGCGAAGCACAGTTCAACGAGACCCTTGACCAGATCAACCAAAACATCAACGACGACGACAAAGAATTGTTTGTTGCCATTGTTGCTCTCGTCATCTCCATTGTCGCCTTGCTTGCATCCCTCCTGCAGGTCGCACAACAGTACTTTGCCTCCGCCGCTGGCTATTCAAGTTGTGGCAGCAAAGTGATAGGAAAATGGTCCGAATCCAAGCAGCGCAAAATCAAGTTCACCGAGTTCCGATTCGAGGTTCTCTTCGAAGCTCCCGTTATCTTCCTATGCCCTCCAACGAATAAGAAGGGTCCTGTCAAAGGCGAGTCCATCATATTCATTGATGGCTCGGAAAAAAGCTTGCTGTACAGCCGGTCAGAACTTCAAGACGAAAAAGGTGTTTCCGACAACAAGGAGATCACGAAACAGTCAGTCCACACGGCTGACAATGAGCGGGCTTCGTGGGTAGCGCTCCTCTCCGCCCTGCAGGAAATGGAATATAAATCTAGGGAATGGCAAAAAAGACAGTACACCGATGTAGTCTACGGGAAGCCACCAAAAGGATCTGACCAGCTCGAGGATCCAGAAAACGTCACCAATATCCTCAAAGAAGTCAGCGAAAAGTATACTCTGACGGTCGCCATTCAGAAGAAACGTAGGAGCTGGGATACAATGCCGTCCAACGTCAAGAAGCCATACGCCACTACGACGTGGTGCCACATGGTCGAAATGCTAGCTATGCTCGGCGTTTATTGGGTCGAGTTCAACAGGACCAACGATAGATACCGCGCAGAGGGTAATGGCTATACTATCACGGGGGAAAAGGTCAGTGATCTTGGCATCATGTTCACATTCCAGGTCTATGGACGCAGTCGATTCGAGAACAATCGTGTCATACCCGTGGACGAGACCAAAGAGCTTTGCTTTGGCTTTCTCCCAACTATCTACCGGGCAACATCGGACAATCGACGTCTGAAGTTCCCCAACGACGAGCCTCGTGACTTGTCGACCTTGAACTTTGCTAGTAACCACGAAATCGCCGAAACTCTAGTCTTGATCGGCTGCAACACCAACACCGTCAATTATTTTTCCTCTACGTCGACGGCCAGGGTTGGGCATTTGTTCCCTGGTAAGCTCAAGCCGTACTGCACCAACTACTGTCTAGTGCTAAACCTTTTTTGATAGTCGCTTTTGAGATAGTAGGCATGTTGGGACGTACACTTCACATCGAGAAAAGCGCGTTCCGTCTACTACCCAATCCTACTCACTATCGCTGGGACACGAAGAACTTCTCCCTAACCAGGCTGCTGGAGGCGTACACTATGCAAATGAACAAACTCAAGTCGGATCAGCCGACTCCTAGCCTGGTGGGCCGAGCAATTAGGAGGAACATCCGTAAGATCAATGGACTGATCAAGAAGCACGCGGCCACCTCTGCCAATTGGCCAAGCCTGCCCCTCATGGATGCTCTACACGAGGCCCTCAATGATACCGACGAGATTCTGACGGCAAGGGCGAAAGTGTCTCGACCAACAGCGCCTCCACGGGTTGACTCGATGATGACTGGAAAGCCCTCGGTTTTTGAACCAAATGCTGAAGGGGCAATCGAGAGCGCACGACGCGAGATGGTTCAAGATGTGTTACGCAGTCATATCCAGGAGGTCTTGGGAGGTTTCAACGAGAAGCCGGAAAAGACAGCTCAAAAACCTCCTGGTAACGCCGCAACGATAGAAAACAGAGTAAGAAGCCAGCTTCGATTCGAGGATATCGACGCTGCGCCGCCAGAACTCAAGCAGGAGAAACTCATGGAGGTCTATTTCCGCTTGGTGCGGAGAAAGGTCATTGAGGTGTCTCGAGAGTCGTCAGACAGGCGCGAACAGCCTATTGTGGGGTTCGGCGGCCTCAAGAAACGGAACCAAACCAACTTCAGTACACGGACCGTTGAGACGATAGACGACGAAGAACCGATATCGCTGCACGAGTTGGGCGAGGAAGAAGTTACCCACGAGGATATCTGGTGCACGCTTATTTTCCGGATGATTTGTTGGCTCATGCTACATGATTTCCACAAGAAAGACATCCAGGTATCAAAGAGCGAACTGTTGGGCAGCCGACTACCAGTCTACATCTCCTAGTTTGAGAATACGACGATGACATCCACCGCCATCTCAAGCATTTACAGGCATTTTGGGAAACAAAATTGCATTAATAGTATATGGGCTTGGATGAATTATGAGTATGATAGCGAGTAGCGTGATGTCTCCAAGAGGCCCTGATGGGTGCGGGACATGAAACAATTTCGGTATTTAAGGTAGCTTACGAATGATGACAATGACGATCAAACAATCTCATTTAAAGGATTATGAATCTACAATGTGAGAGGTGAAGTTTTAGGCGAGAAGTGCTGGCGGTGGCCACGCTTATTCCTGCCACCGTCTCACCAGCTGCGATGTGGTCGATCTGATGTCCAAGGTCTGGGACAGCGGTCTGGAAGGGTTGGTTGTTCTGGACAGCCGGCCAAAGGGCCTAGGGGATTCTTGGAGAGGCAACCCGAGGTTCGGGAACGAAGATGGAGACCTTTTTGCGACTCCGGAATTCTGTAGCACGGTACGGAATACCTACTCCATAATGCCCAGCGGCCCAGCGGCCCAGAAGGTTCCCAAGCCGCAAAGTGGTTGCAGTCCTCACATTCCTTGGACCTCTGGGCAGTGCTCCTGGGACCGGGACGCGAGAGAGCGCTAGGCCGGATCGGGGCGGACGGCGGCAAACAAGGGAGAGGGTATGGGTTCGGCGTGAGCGGACTCGCGGAGAGGCCTGCGAAAAGGAGGAGCAGAGTACGGAGTCCACCGAGGTCATGGGGAGACGATAGCCGGTTTTGCTGACGAATCGCGAACTCGTCTGAGGACTCTCCGGTGTCCTTTGGGTCGACTTGATAGCCGAGAGAGGCGTGTGATGAATGTATGCGATTAGTATCGGGGCCGAAGACTGACACAAATGCTGACAATACAGTAGAGCGCCTTGACACTGTAGGGGCTCTTGATGTCACGTAGTGGAACTCGCAGTCCGCCAGAACGACTTCCTCGACGAGGTTTCCGTAATTAGCTATTTCACATTGGAAAGCAGTGCTACTTGCGATACTTCGGCTTGCCTGGGCGCACGCGTAAGGTGAGGAGGTTCTGCACTTGTTCGAGAGGGATGCGCGGGGAAGGGCATTTGACTTTATCGGTGCATATTCAAGACGGAAGCAGACGGATGAGGCCAGTAGTGTGATGCAGTCCGCAACTCACCACGGCTGCTGGTCTCTCGGTTAGTGTGATGTCGTCCAATGCCTCACGGCTCAGAAAATGCACCTGTGCGGCGGCTCTCAGGGCTGGCTACGAGCCAACAAGCCTTATGCGCCGGTGTGATGTTTGCTGAACATCTCATCCATGGGTGGCAGACATGGCTCAGACAATGGCTGTTGGTTCGTAAGTGAATTGTTGCTGGCGTCTCTCTTCTCTCCGTTCCCGAGGCGTGCATGTTGGCTACTTTTGCAACGGAATGTCTTGGGCGTTGGTCCCTTGAATGAGTAGAAAATGTGCCTGTAGTGAGAGCACTACCTGTTGAAAGCACTCTTCGGGGTTGGGGGTCCAACAATTGCATTCTCGAAACTGGATCGCGGAGTGGAGGGCGGTATGAGACGGGAGGGCGGTATGAGACGAGACACTGCTTCACGGGTGACGGGTAACGCGTTCGCGGGAATCTTTATTCGTACTGTGAGTCTGTAATAACTGTGCAGTGAGAGTGCGTGAGTGCTAATTAGGTAGACGCGATCAGCCCTTCAGATGGTCACCGTGTCCCCTTGGCGTGAGATCAGCGGGGCAGCAGGCAGGCGAAGCAGTTTAGAACTTTGGGTAGGCAACCGAACCTGCGCCGCGGTTGTAGCGTGCCAGAGTTGACGCGAGAATTGGACGAGTCTATCCGTACGAATAATGGCGTGAATGTCACTGGGGGACCTGGACCCGTGACCGTGACCGTGACTGGAGACTGTCAGAATGTGACTGGGGGGGAATGGGTTGCAGGGAAGGGAGGGGAACCAGGGCAAGCCGCCAGCCGCCAGCGGACCGAGGGGTTGGGTTTGGCATGGTCTTGAGTTCGGCCGGCGACGGTCATGACAAGGGGAACAATTCATGGTGACGAATGACGGGGGAAAAGAGTCTTGTTGTTGTTGGAATGGAGATTGATCATTGTATGGACGTCTTTTGCTGGCTGTCCTCGTCGCAGCGGCGGCAAATGGAGTTGAGAGTCGAGACAACGGAATTCCAGCCATTTTGCCGATGGCGTACAAACAAGGAACCTCAGAGACCTTGGAATAGAAAAAGACAAAGGCGGTAGCTGCATGGGTAAGCCTGAGTTAAGAAAGCAGACAAGCCATGGGCGCAGCAGCTGTCAAAAGTCAAGAGCAACATCAATTGTCAGAAGCGGCAATATCTCAAGTAGTGACTTCCAACAATGTGCTGCTCAACGACGGAGAGGACCACTCGTAGATGTGTGGATGGATGATAAACGATCTGTTGCGGCGCCGAGTACCTTGCACGCTTGAAACACCGGGTCGAATACCTCCAAAGCTATCAGGGGCAAAGGGGGCCCCGCTGGATGGAACCAGAAGGGGATCCACCAATGGCTGCAGTTACTCGCTCGTCATTGCAGACTCAGCACGCCTCAGACTCTCAGAGGAAGGCGCATAGCCTAGAGGCACACGAGGAAAGCGCAAGGAAGTCCGCCTGCCTGAGTTGCTGAGGTCGAACGAATCTGGAAAGAAAGCACGGGCCCCGGGATCCCACTTTCCCTAACTTCAACCTGGAGTGCACGTGTTGCTTCTCCACTTTGCCATCGTCGCAGGCAGGAGACGTGGACGTCCAAGATGTTAGAGTTTAGTGTTGGTAATCCAAATATTCAGGTCAATAGAATCCAGAAGAAACAAGCAAGCCAGAGAACATGAAGCAGCATCAAAGACACACCGCAACCCCTTTTCAGCGTTGGCTACTAGTGATTATACATGGACAAGGTCAGGCAAGTATGAAACCCTGGATGCTCGCTGTAGCCGCCCCCGAACCAACACACCGACCAAGTGGCCCAGTGACGCTCGTCGTCCTGAGAGAGTGGAGGCCACTAAAGGAGCCTGGAAGCAAGGAGCGACTGAGGCATGTATCTTTCCGGCCAAGTCTGTACTGCGATATACTTCTGGTCGGATGCGAGCAGCGAGCGGACCACAAACCACCTCTGAAAAAAAAACAAAGGAGTATGTTTTTTTTTCTTTTCCTTGCTGCCATTCCGAGATCTCATCTCATCTTGTCGCTTGAGCGTTGTCCACCAGCCTGATCCACTTTCCATGCTTGAGAGTCAAGACTCGAGATCCATACGAATCAATCGAGTCTGCAGTCGTCAAGTCGAGATTTCCAACATTCGACCCTTGTTCTGTTCGCCCGTCTACACAGCGTTATAGTCCTTCACCAAAGGTTGCGCTCAAGTCTCAAAGAAGAGGAGGGGGCGCTTCGATATTATCTACCTTGGTTATGACAAAGACGCAAACAAGCCCGGACCCAAGCCCGATCTAAACGAGAAAGTAAGAAAGGAGAGGACGTCTTTTCTCATGTCGCTTTCACTACTTACCTCACTGCCTTGTTGGAAGCCAACCTTATTCCCCGCAGCTTGGAAACCTTCCATACCCATTCTCACTCTTTGACACTCGACATTCTTCCATGCCCGGCAATTTTATCGTACAATGCAAAGATAGACCCTCTGTCATTCCTTCCTGTCACCAATTACCGCTCCCGAGGTACTTTGCGTTTCTAGATTCTCAGGTTCAGGGTAGGTAGCGACGGGAGTAATTATTCCTCGATATCCAACATTGCCTAGCTAACTGACCTACGTATCGGCCGCCGACAGTCGTCTCACCGCGTTATTGACCAACGCCTGCTTTTCGGCTTGCCTTGCATTGCTCCCGTCTTCCCTTCCACTGCGCACGGCATTGCTTTTGCGCTTCCGATCCGTTGCGGTGTGAGCCGCGGGCTTCTCCTGTGCCGTACAGTCACTCCTGCCTTACCTTACCTTACTCAAGGCCTCCTCAGGAACTTTGAGTAGGTACATTGCAATAGGTGCTTTGTCGACGGTTCTGTAAGTACCTGACGGGAGGTACCTTTCCTTCAGGGGTGCCCATCCACCCAGGCAGTAAAAACCTGGAACGCACCTCCCCGTACACTACTGTTTCTCCTTCGCTGTACGAATACCTACTCGGTACTGAGGTACCTTCCAAATCCATCGCCTCCAAACTGAGGAGGACCTCACCGCACCTACGAGTCGCTCTTTCCGCCGTCGCCCGCTACCGTACGTACCTACGTGCCTCCCTGAGGTACCACCTACCCTCCCCTCCCGCCTTGGGTGCTGCCACCAAAAAACTCCACCTCCACATCCACAGTACCCGCACCCGTAAGCCGTGCCTGCAACCTGCGACCTGCGACCGTAATCCCGCCCGCCACCTTCGAAATCCCCAACCCTCACTCACACCCGATTCCGATCCCAAACCTTACATTTCCTCTCCTCCTCGACACCTCCCCCCTCCTCCGATACAATCACGACAAAAACCCTCGTTCCTCATCGCGTCTCACTGTTGAGCCTTCGAAGCAGACCATACACTACGCGAGAGGCATAATGACGCCCTCGCCCGGTCCCCAGATCAACACCACAGAGGTGAGGCGGCCTCGCTCCAGTCAGACCGTCTCCTTCTCTGTCGACGAAGGCAACAATTCCATTCATGGATCCGACTCTACAAGCCTCCAGTTGGCCGTTTCCGAGTGCATAGAAACTACAACTACAACCACCACCACGACTACCAAACGCACCTTTCCTCCCGTCTACCTGCGCGAAGTTCGTCCTCTCCACGAACTCGACTCCAAGGAGTATCCTCTCGCCTCGAAGCCTCTACCCCCCGAACTCGCAAACTTCTCTTTCAGCGTTTCGGGCTCCTCTTCCGATGGCACAATCGACAATCCTTTCGTTGCCAAAACGGTATGGCCCTCACTCCTTCTTATCCAGTTTTTTTCCCCCCTCTGTTTTTTCTTTTCTTTTCTCGCCATCGCATTTACTGACATTGTCTTCCCCAGCAGCGCAAAGCACCGTTTGCAGCCGAAAGGCAGCCCGCAGGCCTACTCCAAGAGGACGAGTCGAGTCAAATGTCTAGACGCACATCCAAGTCGCCTTCGGATGCCAACCAAAGAAGATCTCGTCGCTCGAACCCCCGCGAAGCCTCGCCGTCCTACGACGCGTCGCCAGTCCTGCCTTCGAGACCCTCTAGGAATCCCAGGCCGACTGGACTCTCCATACCTGAGGATGCCTCGCAACGCCTCCGACGTCAACTTACGAGAGGCAGACCATCCGGCTATTTGGCTACTCCAGACACATCCGAAGTCGCTGGTTCAAGCTCAGACCGTGTGACGCGACCCCGATCCCTTCACCTTCACCGCTCGAGTAATACTCCTCCAGACTCAGGGCCGAGTCAAACAAATCTGCAGGAAGCGGCCAGCCCCATCGGAAGCGATGCACTCACCGTCTTCAGCAGCAACGTCGCCACCCCTCCTATTACCGACGCCGACCCCGAGCCATTTGTTGATACCGATGAGTCGCTCCAACAGTCTCTTCGGGCCGTCGGCCACAGACCCTCAATCGACGCCGTGGCTGCACAGGATGCGAGCCTACCTAGTCCGAGACTTTCGCCTACCTTAGCAGCCGCTCAACTGAACTCGAGAGAATCCGATGACGAAGACGAAGAGTCACCCCAGAGCAGCGTTGTCGCCAGACGAAATGTCAGCTTCCGTGAGCAGGCTTGGTTGAATGAATCACAGACCACCGAGGAGGGTGGCTACGTCTCCGACATGTCCATTGCCGTGGATGATGGCTCCTTCCAAGCTGACGACCTCGACGCCCATACCGCCATGCTTGACACTCGCAACATGATGGAGAGATTCGACGCCATGCCCAATGAGATGAAGAGCTTTTTGATGTACAATCTCCTTCGCCGATGCCCGAGAAAAACCCTTCGTCTCGTCGCCGATGTTGTCACCCCCGCATTGAAGTGCGACTTTTTCAAACAACTTCCTCTCGAACTGAGCTTCCACGTGTTGTCGTTTCTCGATCACCGAGACTTGTGCCGAGCTGCGCAGGTCTCTAAACATTGGCGGAACATTGTGGACACGAACGAAACTGGATGGAAGGAGTTGTTCGATCGCGATGGCTTCACATTGCCTCCCGGTGAACTTGACAAAGCCATTATCCAGGGCTGGGGCTGGCAAGATCCTGTTGGAGTCACCGGGGCTGAGGTTGACTTGCGACCTCTCAGCCGACTGGACTCGGCTGACAACGAACTCACCAAATCCGTTGTCAAGGCTGATTCAACGAGCAGGCTTCGCAGTTCCAAGCGTAAGAGGGCCCTCAACTTATCCAGTGCCGATAGGTCGAAGCGGAGAGCTAGCGGCCAGGATGTGGCCCGGCTGGATGCGATACAGTCTGAGGTGAAGCAACACAAGTCCGAGGGACCGCTTTCGGCGGCTAATGCGGCCGCCGCTGCTGTGCCCAACCCCAAGACTAGCATCCCAGGACTCCAAAAGTTGCATCTCTTCAAATCTCTTTACCGCCGTCACTACATGATCCGGCAAAGCTGGACGAGCGGCAAGGTCAAGCCTGGGCACGTCGCCTTTGCTGCCCACCCCCGCCATGTCATTACATGCTTGCAGTTCGACGAAGACAAAATCATCACCGGTAGTGACGATACCCTGATCCATGTCTACGATACGAACACTGGAAAGCTGCGAAAGAAGCTGGAAGGCCACGAAGGCGGTGTATGGGCCTTGCAATATGAAGGCAACATGCTCGTCTCTGGGTCTACCGATCGATCTGTCCGGGTTTGGGATATAGAGAAGGGTCTTTGCACGCAGGTTTTCTATGGACACACTAGTACCGTTCGATGCCTGCAGATCCTGATGCCCACCGAGAACGGTAGGGGACACGACGGAAAGCCCATTATGATGCCGCCCAAGCCGCTCATTATCACGGGATCCCGTGACAGTCAGCTCCGCGTCTGGCGCCTGCCTGAGGTCGGCTCTCGCAGATATATCCAGACGGGCCCTCCGGCCAACGATGCTGACTGTCCCTACTTCATCCGAACGCTCTCCGGGCACACACATTCTGTTCGTGCCATTTCTGCACACGGCGACACGCTCGTCAGTGGGAGCTACGATAGCACCGTTCGCGTCTGGCGGATCAGTACTGGCGAGTCTCTGCACGTTCTGCATGGCCACTCTCAGAAGGTATACAGTGTTGTTCTTGACCACGAACGCAACCGTTGTATCTCTGGATCCATGGACTCACTGGTTAAAATTTGGGATCTGAACACTGGGGCATGTCTGCACACCTTGGAAGGCCACAGCTTGCTCGTCGGATTGCTCGATTTGCGCGACGAAAGGCTTGTATCGGCAGCTGCCGACAGCACCCTTCGCATCTGGGACCCAGAGAATGGCAAATGTAAGAATGTACTCACAGCCCATACGGGCGCGATTACATGTTTCCAACATGATGGCCGGAAGGTCATCTCTGGAAGCGAGAAGACGGTCAAGATGTGGGATATTCGCACTGGCGAGTGTGTCCAAGATCTTTTGACCGACTTGAGCGGCGTTTGGCAGGTCAAGTTCGACCAGAGGCGTTGCGTCGTCGCTGTTCAGCGAGACAGCTTGACCTATGTCGAGGTGAGTTTGTCCCACTAAAGTATTAACAAAAACTTAGCTAACCAGCCTGTGCCAGATTCTCGATTTCGGTGCAGTCCGTGATGGCAAACCCCTCTCCGAGCTTGGCGAACGCAAGCTCCTCAACGAGCCAGAAGTCCGCGCTCTTCTGGCCGAAGACTTATAATGACGAAGGAATATCAAGACAGGACAAAATGGAGTTTTCACGAACAAGCATATTACGATGGGCAAAACAGCATCCACCAAGGGGAAACCACATGATGGCCTAATGACATTGGTAGGGCGGGTATGGATGGCATTCTTCTATCCTCATGTTCTAGGCGTTTTTTACGGTCACAGGCCGGGCTTGAAAAGAAAAAGGTGGGCGTTTGCATGATTATCAGGCCGCGCAGAGCGCAAATACCAATTCACTGTATGGGATGATGTAGATATCAGGCGGCAGCCGCACGAAACGAAACGGTTCATGGTATATCAATTATCATGGTGGTTTGTGTCTTTCTCACGCTATAGACAGTTTGCGTTGTGACTATGGGCTCAATCAAAAATTGTATTTGACTTACAAAGCCATATGGCAAGGACCCTTTGGCTTATGCCGTGGCCCCCTGTTTGCCATGCAGAAGAAATATCCCCTTTTCCTTCCGCACTTCGCCCATTACAAAGACTAAAGACATTCGTTACTGTCATTTCATGTGAATTACATTGGGGGGGAAAGGCATCATGATAGTGATTGATAACAAACGCCAAAGTAAAGAATACGCTCATAATAAACCTTGGATATCCAAATACTGAGAAATATATTAAGTCCGATCTATGGTTGACCACTCAACCTAGACCATCTCCGATTAAATGGCCCCCTTTGAAAGGGACTCCCCAACCTCGATGGTGTCCTTCCCGAGTCGTCACGCTGCTCCCGCTCCCTCTGCGGTTGCTTGACGTCGCCTTCCAGCCCGAACCCATAGGTCTCGGCGCCTCCCGCGTGCGGATCCTTGGGGACGAGGCCGTAGCCGACCTTGGCGCCGGCAACGGGGCGATGATCGCTGTTGGGCGTCGTCGCCCAGGGGAGTTTCTCGAGGCCCGGGCCGCGAGTCGCCGCGACGATGCTGCTGAAGCGCGTGTTGCGGACGAGGCCCTCCTCGCGGACGGCGGCGAGACCAAACGCCACGCCGACGATGGCGAGGAGAATGGCGACGGAGTAGACGGCCCAGAGGTCGCGGGCGTGGTACTTGTAGCGGAGGTCGGTCCGCTCGCGGGTGCAGGGGTAGGTGTGGTTGTCACCGAGGCGGGTGCCCGTCTTCTCGCTCGTGTCGTTGGCCCATACGACGGCCAGGAGGCGGGGCTGGGAGAACATGGAGATGAGGATGTCTTCGTAGAGGCTCTGTACCTGGAACATGAAGTCCTTGACGACGAGGTAGTTGTGCTGGTCGAGGATGCGGGTTTGCAAGACTTTGGTGTTGGCATCTGTGTTGGGCTGGAAGATTGTCCCGTTGATGAATTGGCGGAACTGGTATCCAATGGAGTGGTATGCCATTGTTCTGCGGTAACGAGCCACGTCCTGTGGAAAGACGTAGTTTGATTCCGGGGTGCCTGTGGTGTTATCCGCTGTTCCGTCTTGGGCGTCGACGCCGGGGAGGTAGCGAGTGTCGACGATACGGTCGAAGAAGGTTCGCTTCCGAACAGTGGTCTTTTGGGCGAGGCCGGTGTAGTTGAAGTCAACCTCGTACTCCGTCTCACGGTGTTCGCAGCCAAACACCTTTGGAGTGTAGGCCGTTTGCCATGCGGGTAAGGTAGGGTCCATCGGCTGGGGATCTGACGGTTCGTCAACCTCGGCGATGCCGAACCAGAGCACCGGTTCCACTCGGAGCGCGCCGAGGTTTTGTGGGTAGGGAGGCGGCATATTAGGGACGCCTGCAGGGCCAGTATCATTCATCTGAGGGTTCTGGTACTCGCCTGCGGTGGCATGGGCAATATACGTATGATTGCCCACCGGGGCAAGCATGCTCATGTTGAAGGGAACCTCGGCGCCGTTGAGCTTCTTCGGGGTCGACCCGACGCCACTGGCAAGCTCTTCGCACTTGTACCCGGGACCTTTGAACTGGATAGTGAATGAGCAGTTCCAGCCCATACCACAAACATCAAGGCTGGCATTCGTTCGCGCGAGTGGTTTCTTGCCCAGGATCGCCGAGGTGGATATCTCCTCGAATTGCCAACTTGTTCCGATCCAATAGTCAAAGAAGTGCTCGTCGGACTGATTGAAGCTAGTCGTATTCCATAGAGAGGAGGAAAGCTCAAAGAGATTGTTAATCTTCGTCCCTGTGCGAAAGTCGTTGGTTTCTTCCTGCCCAAAGTTGAGAGTGCGGACGGACGGGCACGTCGTGGTCTCACGCGTCGTGGCAGGTTGAGCAGTTAGAGTGTCCGAGGTGAGAACTACGACGAGAGGGGTGCACCACACATAGATGGCCAAGATCATGGCGATCCTAGCTTGGCGAAAGACCTCAATGTTGAAGATGGCAGTCATGTCCTCGGCGGCGGCAAAGAGCGAATCCACAGCAGCGAGGGTAAGCATCTTTCGACGGACTGTCATCCATACCCTCTGTCGAAAGGCCAGAATGACAGCTGATCCCAGACTAGCTTTGCTGAGAAAGGACAAGGCGGCGCCGTAACGAAGCATGCGAATCTGTCCGTTGGCCTCTGTTCCGTCGAGCCCGGCGTAGAAGAAATGGTGACCGAGAGCAAATGCAATCCCAGCGAAGAGGAAGAAGTACATATTCCATGACGGGTGCCAGTACTTGTTGAAAAGCTGGATTTGCTCGGGGGATAGTACATCGACTGTGGTCGATTAGGCGGAGGGCCATGCCATGGCGGTGAGAGTAGACCAGTTGCCGAGGACTGAGAATCAACGCGAGTGCCCATGTGTCGTTTGGGTGGAAGGCCTCCAGTCGAAAGGCCCCCCGTGTACGGTGTACTCAGGCTGGAGTAGGAGGCGGAATAGTTTGAGTACTCGTGAGAGTCCATTTGCAATGGCGCCGGCCTCGGTCGCTGCGAAAACGCATTGTTTCCGCTAGCCGGTGCTGGGAAGTATGCCGCGGCGCCGGCCGCTCGTTCGGAAAAGGACGGCTGTGGTGATTTGGCGGAGGGCGTCGGCGGGCTTCTTCCGAAAGGCCCGTACGGGCTGCCGATGGGTGCCGGTGTTGTCGGTGTCTGTGGTCCGTTGATCGGCTTTCGAGCAAATTGGCGATTGGGATGCCACTCAGCCGACGGCGTCATTTGGATGTCGCCTTCGTCTTGAATAGCACTTTGTCGCAGGCCCAGACTCTCGCTGTCGGGTTTGCCGTCCATTATGGCTGGTCAATCAGGTGGAGGAGGCTTACGGGTAAAAGAAAATGTTGATGGTGGCTTGAGGGGATTCGGCGACCAGAAAGCGGCGTCAATCGGCGTTGGACAGGGCCGTGGCTATCGAATGGTCGTTTCAAGCACATTTGGCGGTTCAATATCGCCAGCGAGGTCAATTTACGGGATCGTAGGAGTCGAACAATCTTAATCTTGGCAGCTTTGTTATGTTGACGACTGAGTTATGTGGGTTGTCATTCAAAGTGCTTTGGGCGATTAACATCCAACGAGGGAGGGCACAGCTGCTGAAGAACAAACCCTCCAGGAAACAAATAAAGCGGAGAGGGGAGTAAGAATTGAGGGAAAGCAACAAAGGAAAGACAGCTGATAAGACAGCTCGCATGTTGTCTCGTAAGGCTTGGGGAAACACAGCTACCAACACTTGCCGGAGGTGATGGGTGCATGTGGCTCCTCCCGCCCTCCATCTCCGGACGTACGAATAACGAACAAGGGAAGGGTGATGCGACCTGCGTCGAGCTGCGCTTGAGTTTACGAATACCTTGCCTGGTCGCTACTTCGGGGTTGGCCACTGCAGCCAAGTTGGCTCAGCTCGAGGTGATGGCGCAGAACTGGCGTCTCCGACCAACATTGGGGGTTACGGCTGTGCGCCATTGGCGATGGTTGCATATGGCGGCCGGGATATGGCTCGAGAGAAACCCGGGAGCCTTGTCGGTCCATTCTGACAGGTGGGCCCGGCCATATGCTGCTGCCTTTGATCGCAATCGCAGTCAAGAAGGGCTCTGTTTGATGAGGTGGGATGAGGTGCTCCATCATCATCCAGACGCAGCTGGGCTTGCATTTTCCCTTCTCTTCGGGAGGATTCAAAGAGTTTTGCATAGTGACACCGCCTCGTGGGGCCGAAGAGGATGAGAGTGAGATGAGAGATGGGACGTCAGTTGTGGTAGCTCCAACGCACACTGCAGGGTTGATGATGAGGTGAGATGACGGAAATTGAGATGTGGGTGGAGGAGAACGAGCAGGCAGTTGGAAGTTTGGGGGCTGTGACTGAGTCTGCGTCGTTTCCCACACCAACAGACACCGGCTTCTCGAAGGATGCCTCCCAACGGAGAGTAAAGCATCAAGCGATGAGACAGATTTTTGTTGTCCAGGGCTAAGAACTCTAGGCGTTGCGAGAAAACCGCTTAGTTCCAAAGGGCTGATCATGAAGCAAAGTAACTTCCAACTTTCTTGCATCTGGACAGTCCCAAGGATGCTGTTCTTGGGATGCTTGGGATAGGCTATAGCCGGGTGCTGCATGAGAAGAAGCAAAGGCCCGTCCGCTACCGGGGTTGGATGAAGAACGACTCGGGAAACTGGAGCAAGAGCAAGCAACGGCTGTACGATTTCAGAAGCCCGAGAATTGTGCGCTGTGACAGTGATGGCCAAGTGAAGGCACTTGGCCTGGGGTTGACAACATAAAGCTGACATGCATCGCCAATGTGCCATCTCGTACCCGGAATAGGCCGTTGTCTTTTTTGCCTTTTCTAGTCTTCCCGCAAGTCGATTGCCGCTACTCGCTGGTAAGCCTCGCGCCGTTCAGCTGACGAGTAAACTTGCTTTCGACCGTCTGACATGGCCTCCCGATCTCGTCCATCTCCGGTTCAGCCCTACGCCTCTTTGCTGCTCCCGGCCACACCTGCAACATCCTCGAAAATATACCTACCATGCTTCTCTCACTCGATCGCCTGGAGGCCAGATCGACTGGAACAGAACTCCCTTCAGTTTACTGCATGTGACCAACAAGTCTCTTTTGTTACTGGCATCGTTCCTTGTCCTGGCTGCCAATTACGATGGAATCCCAAAGGTAAGTCTCTTGTGTGTGTACGTACTGCGATACTATCTACTGTTCTGAAATAGAAAAGCTTTGATCGCTCAAAGATGATGTGTCAATATTTGTAAGTATGTTTTCCCCATGGAATGAAAACCGTATTCCCGACAACAATGCAAAATGAGGGCCGTTTCTAAGTCGTCTCCTCCCTCATGCGTACCCATTACAATCCCAACTCCATCCAGGCTGGGAAACCGCCCTAGCCATATGCATCATTTCCGTTCTTCATTGTCCTCATCTGAAGCGTCTCCTTCATAGTCACGTTCTAGAACACCAAAGCAGATACCCTCTCATCTCTATCTCTGTGCTCCTTCTCCTTCTTCTTGAACAGAGACTTGAGCATGTTGTTCTTCTTGGGTCGGAGCACCGCTTCGATAGCCTCATCTTCTTTCTGGCGGCTGCCGTCCTCGATCGCCAGGGTCGGCGCGCGTGTACTACGCTTGGAGGTAGAGCTGCGGTGACTCCGGTGGCTGCTGGCGACACTCTCGGCATCCCTTTCGGACCTCGCAACCTCAGACCTTGCGATGCTGCTCTTGCGTTCGGGCACCTCAGACGCGCGGCTGCTGTGGTGCGACCGGGATGAGTGGTGGGACTTCTCCGACCTCTCGGTTCTCTCCGTCCTCGAGCTGCGGTGCGTCTTGGAACTGCGTTGTGTGCGGAAACTCCGCTCGGTACGGGTGTCGTCTCCAAGCATCGAACGCGCGGCCTCAGGGCTGATAAGTTCCATGTCGACACTCTCATCCTCACCAGCAGGTGCGATTCCGCGGCGCCAACTCTCGATGGAGCTGAGTTCCTCATCAAGTCGAGGGTCAAGAACATACGCCTCATCGTAAGCAACGCTACCCTCACGGACGCTCCCTTCCCGGACGCTTCCCTCCCGTGGCTGCTGGTAGGGGTCATACTGGTCGTATTGGTCATACTGTTCGTGTTGTGCGTACTCGATGGCCTGCGGCGCGGGCTGTGCCTCAAAGGCCATGGCGTTGGCGATGGCTGCCTGTTTTTGGGCCTGGGCATCCTTGATCTGCTTCACAATCTTCCATCCGCCAAACATGACTACCGTGAGACCAATACTCGCACCGGCAGCGATGAGAAATTGAGGTGATGCCAGAAGTGCAAAAACTGCTGGCGAGCCTCCCTTGATCACGGACAAGAAGGCAGGCGACATCTGCTTCAAGAGGGTGGACAATTCCGCTAGCGTCAAAGCGACGGCGGCGGCGGCATCGGGATTTCCTTGCAGATGGGCGATGGTGGCGGTCGCTGAGTGATGCGCGCACTTGGCTTCGTCGAGAAGTCCCTCGACTCTGGAGACGAGCGTCTTGGCCTCCTTCTCCTTAGTAAGGGGGTCCAAGTCAGTGCGATCCTTCAGATCGGGGGGGATATTGCCGTATGCGAGGTCCATATCGATTTCCTTCTCCTTTCGGCCCTTGGATATTACCGGCGCGGACATGGTACGAGGAACCATGGAGCCACGAATTGTCGCCGAGTCGGCAAGACTATCGCTGCACGACGGGGCGGTGGTGTAATGTGGCATGGTCGGGCGGCTCAAGGCCATATCGCGGGGAGCCGTCTCGGCATAAGGAGTACGATAGGCGGTGGGAGGCGCTCTTGATGGCGTGACGCTGGAAACTTCGGAATGTGTTTTGAGGTTGTTCTCGGTCAGGGCAGGTCTCGAACGTGGGTAGTACTCGACATCGCGGTGGCTCGACTGGGAGCGTCTGGATCGGTGGCTCCTCCTGGAGCTGGCGACAGAGCGACCGTCATCGTGTGAGTAGCGGCGATCGAAGGCCTCGGGAGGGAGATCGCGGGAAGTATCAAAGGTTTGAGCGCGCTTAAGAACCTCCCGGTCGGCCTTGATGGCCGCCTTTTTCTCTTGGTAGGAAGCCTTGGCTTCTTTGAAGATACCGGCCAGGTGTTTTCCCTGCAGAAGCGAAGATGATACGTCAGCTATTGGGCTTCATCGCTCGGCTGAGAGTTGTAGTGCGTCTGCATTGTTTGCATATCGAATGTTGTTGCGCGCAGTTCTGACGGTCGAATTCAAGGGCTGGATCGAGTGGGCATGGAGTCTGATGAGGGGCGGTGGGGGGAAATGCAACGGGTGTGAACCAGAGAAAGAGACTTACGGTACTTATAATCTTGCCCGAGTTGTTGATGATGGTGACCGTCTGCGTGAGGGCCATGGTGATATATTTCAAGCACCTGCTCGGCGTCTTCACCGAGCAAGTGATGTGTATGTAAGAGGGAGTGTGTGTGAGTGCGTCAAGGTAAAGGAAGAGTGTGTGAGAGACACACACACAGGCGGTGACCTAGTATGGTGGTGTTGGTGCGGGCGGTACTAGTCGAGTTTTGAAGCTTTCCCTTCTTTTTAAGTGACGACAGGCCCCAGGGTACTACAAGACGGGCTTGGCTTCGCCAAGAAGGTTTCCGTCAGGACTCTGAGAGGAAGGGGGAGGCTGGTCTCTGAGGGAGCCCAGTCCACCGCCAAAATGATCCCGTTTTGTTTGCTGTCGCGGGGAGCCACTTGAAGGGCACTCGGGGCACTTCTGGGCGCTTTCGGGGCAGGGTCCCTCGCTGTTGACGATGCGGTGAAGGAAAGGAGGCCCCTAACACAACTCCACCGTCACAGTTCCAGACGGAAGCGAGTACCGACTTGGGTGACAAGGGGTGGAGGAGACCGAAGACGGGTTTGCAAATCGGCCCCCACAAAGTCACAGAAACGGGTCAAGACTCAAGACCCCCCCGGAGATGCTGTGGTGCTCGTGGCAGTGGCACTGAGAAGATCGCGGCCCGTGGGAGGTTTAGCCGTTGTTGTTAAAGTGGACGACGAACAACGGCCGGCAGCCGGATGAAGGCGATGTGGAGATACAGAGGCTGGTAGATGTGCAGGTTTCTTTCTCACCCGGTATCTGTAGTGCACAGCGTAGGTATTCGTAGAGGGAATGTGGACGTGTTCTGTCGTTTTCAAACGACGGTATGGGAGATTCCGATATGACGGTGTGAGATGCAGGTGAGCGTTTGGTATCTGTATGAGCTGATATCCCGGCCTTCCTCTCTATCCCTTGCGATGCCCAGTGAGATGATTTGCGAGGCCACGATATGCTGGCTGATATGAGAGGAAAAGAGCGGGGAGGGAGGTTGAAAGAGAAATCGAGAGACGGGGGAGGATGCGGGATGAGAGGGGCTTTTCGACATGAAATACAACGGCGGACAGCATCGGCTCTCAATTACATCTTATCACTGGCTTCCATTCTTTGGGAAATCATGGAAATGAGCCAGTGAGGAGCATGCCAAACACCCAAGCCGAATCGACGGGCCAAATGAGTGAAAGCCCAGCAATCAGAGCGAAAATCTGCCCTTCGCGCGCCTGTGTCTAGAATAGCCAGCTTCTCATCACAGTCGCATTTCGCACTCGCAGTCAGTCATGGTGACAAGTCCACGTCTTCTTTTTTCATCTCACTCCCTAAAAACCGGATAATCACCCCCTCCCCTGTTTTTCGTAGGGGCGACAAGACAAGCCCAGGCCGCTCAGGGTGAGGCGACATCCCGGCGATTGGTCCCGGAAGAAGCTCTGAGCGCCTTTTTGCGCATTTGGGCCTCGTTGCAGGTTGCAACTTGCAGCTGGCCACTCGAAAAGGGACAAGACGAATGGAATGGGGATGGAACTGGCCAAACGGAACGGATGATTCGTGACCTTGACAGCTGAGAGCCTGAGACTAGACGGGGCCGGTCGGATGAGGAGCCACCTTAGTCACTTAACGCTCCCAGGCCTCCCAGAGTCCCATTCTCATCCTCCCGCCGTCTACGAATAGGTACTCGTAGTGTCAAGTTTTGACCTCTCACACCAAGAACGCATGGGAGGGGAAGGGGAGAAAAGACTGCCAGCTGGGCCTGGCCCACCTCTCCTCTCTCACTCACCAGTCATCATTGAGCTGAGCTCACCTCTCACTCAGACTCACCTCAATCACAGGCCATGTCCCTGCCAATCTTGTCTCCGGCTTCTTTCCGCCTTTCCGATCCTTCGTCCTCTTAGGACGGATACCTAGCGTGCCTGAATGTGGTCCTCTTTCTCTCCGCCCTTCCAGCTCTCCTTCTTCTTTCCAGCCCTCCTCACCGCATCGCAGCAGCCAACAACCGGTCAAGGAATGATCGTTCAAGTGAACTGTGACACGTGAGGGGCCGCACGCAAAATCGCATGGCTCATTATTAATCCCCGATGAATCCTAGTCTACTCTCCGATGCTGCTTCTTACGCCCGCTGGCTTATACTATATACCTAACTACTAACTTCCGCCTAATTGCCACTCCCGCGTTAACAATGTTTTAATGTTCCTTTCTCTATTCCTGAAAACCCTTTTGTCCTCCTTTCTGATGTTTCTCCTTACCGCGATCCTACTGCTTCAACTGCTGCGGATGCTATCGCTGCTGCATGATGCACGCACGATGAGGTTGTACAGCTTCACTTTCAAATGGCCCCAGTCTCCCCATCCGGTGTTCCTGTATTGCTACCCAGCACCCGACACAGCGTTCCTGACGTCGTGTGTCCAACACCGACAGCTTGGCCGAGAGCCGTTAGCCGCTGTTCGTCGTCATGGTGGATTGACTTGATCATGAAATGTGAGTTC